ACTTAGGATGGTGGAGTAATAGAAATTAATTCAGAATAGTGATGCATCTGAATGAGATTTCGGTTCGGTCGAGATCCGACCGAATTCATATTTTGAGATTCCGAAATTCGTATTCCGACCGAAATTAGTCGGTTTTTACCGACTGAAGTTCGGTTCGTTACCATCACTAATTCAGATCAATCGAATGAGCAATAATTTTAACTTGTCTTTGAATTTTCATGCCGATAAGTTAACAGACTGTCTTCATGATTGAAACGTGACTGTCTCGATGAACTGATAAAAAAGTGATCATTAGTTTTAATAATATTGATTCAATCGCACTGATTTTTGGTAGTTACGCTTTGGAACAGAAAAAAAATTTGAACAAAAACGTGAAGGTCGCTTCCTCGGACCTATTTGTACTTAGAATCCGAAAGTAAACTTTTTCGCACTCCTGTGTAAAGTTTCGATCCAACAACGCCAAAGTCCGGAAAATGACAAAAATCGTGAATTTCAATGCTTGAAAAAGATGAGTTTTCATTATCACGCAACTTGGAGAATTTGTTGAATGTGTGTACAATTGCGAGCCTCGAAAAACATTTCCTAGAGTAGTGCCGGAGCGATCGGAGATGGAAGAAATGAAACTCGTTCTCGGATTCCTCATATCATATTGCATGAAATCAGTTTGCATGAGAGCGGAAAATCAATTTCTTCGCACAGTGAATTTCATGGTTTTTTGCTGCTTTCCGGACTCTGACACTTATTTTCAAAAACTTTTACATAGTGGCATATTTCTGGATCCCACCTGTAAAACTGCGTCAGAAAATAACCATCTCATCGTTGCATAGTTTTTTCGGTCACAGTATTATTCATAGCTGCAATATTACTATTATCATAGCTATAGTACTTCTGTTTTTGTNAAAATATATGTATAAATAAAATACGAACTGAAATAGCTACTGAATTAACTAAACAATACAATATTTTGCACAGTAGGTGTATTTGGGCAGATGTGTATGTACAGCACATGCGTTTGAGTATGAAGCTAATTGATTGCTTTAATCGCATTAAAATAACACTGAATATTAAGTGAGAAACTACGATTGTGTGTTGTGTTGTGTGTTGATCGGTTATCATTCAAATTTCGAATTGAATCAAATTCGAAGTCAACATCCCTGAATCAAATCGATAAAACAATCGCATATTTTATTATCATATGTAGTCTGTCAAGCATTAGGACCGTATTAATGTGGTACTATCCAAAATTGATGGTTTCATCTGAGAGATGAGACAGGTATGAGTATAGTGTTACGTTGAGCAGCTTATGCAGAGACCAGTCATAATTCAGTGCTGAAAATGATCGCAATCCAACCGTTATTCAGTATCAATTCAAACACGCTTCACTCTGCTAGCCCAATTCAATAGTATCAAAGATATATTGTATCAACAACGCGACCCATCACTGCAGTCGTCAACCAAATACAAATCTATATCTGCCAATTATACCATAACCAGTAATTTTAATATTAATAACCATTCAGCTGTATTGCTTACTTCAGAGGTGTGTATATAATTATTGGAATTAGTATCGGCATTATATATTTGATTTGTATTTTTGCTGTCTATTGTTGTTGTCTGTGTCTACCTTATTCATTTCTGTTTTATAATACATCGAAAATAACAGTATTGCAAGCGAGTGAGTCGTTCAAATATTTGTGTGTATGTGTGAGTGTGTGCATCACCGAATTCATCCTTTTCACTGCCGTTACTTTTTCGAAAGAATTCTATTATTCAGCGATATTCGCTCGTGTTTCAATTTTAGTGGTTATGCATGCTAATTAATGATAATCAAAATTGAATTCGATTTTGATCTGATCTAACTTGATCTGCAGATTTCATTATTCGATTGTAAATTCATACCGTTGATATTCTCGAAACGTAAACAAACTGCTATTCCGTTGCTATTGATCTATCTATTCGAAGAAAGTCGTTCAACTGAAGCGTCGTCAGAGCAATAGTAACTACTGACTAATTAATAATTAAAAGAATGAATAAATCAAAAGAAAAACACCGCTATATCTCACAGTTATATGTTGTTCCTGCAGTTGATGCAGTTGATGCTGGTAAAGGCCAACTCGAAATTAGTGTTAATCAAGGCAAAGTACCAAACAATGTACAGATGCAAGGTGCTGGACGTTGTTTGGTTACTTTTATACCACAGTATCCGGGTAAATATGTCATCGATGTCACGTTCAACGGAGAACAAGTTCAAGGTTTTTACTTATTCTTTCGCCGTAATTTCATTCTTTCTCATTTTTTGCTGCTAGACCGGGAATTGATCGTTATTTTTGGTATAATACTCTGTGATTTCGTAATATACGNTCTGATCAGAAAAAAACAACTTTATTGTTACCACTACAATAATTTTCATTTGCCAATTCCATATCGTTAACTATATACATATATACTTGCCGATAATGCTCGATCACATTGCCATCCACTGTAAATATATAGAGGATGATGTAGGAAGGCGAAGGAATCTGTGATGGCAATTTGAGTTGAATGCAAAATCAAAGTGTCCGCAGAGAATGCTTGCAAGTTTTGATTGAGCACAATATACAACTATTATTAGTGATCATTGATTCGATGTAATTATGAGATGATCAATTAAGGTTGTCCAATTCGAGTAGACATACTGCCGAAGCAGGTCGGTCAGAGTGTTTCAACACCAATTGTTTCTCAACAAAGCGCTACAGTTACACCAACAGGTAATTTTGGCGATATTTTTATTGGTATCTATTCGCAATTATTATTCCTACTTGTACCCTTCATTACTGCATGAACAAATGTTGTTGCATCTGAACACGAGCGATTTGGTCACTTTAACGAATGATCTGCTCGTATTCACCTCATTCCTTTATCACAAAACAATTCATTGTCCATCAATTCACACTGGAATTAATCTCAAGATTCATTTATGTAATACTTCGGATTTAGCTTTCCTCGCAACTTTTTTTTGTAGAGTTTGTCATCAGTTGAGCATTTCAATTGAAAAGCGGAAAATGCTGAAAAGAAACCAATATCACTATTAGTGACATGTTATTTGAATTCGAATGTAGAAAAAAGTTCAAAAACTAGTGTTGCAATAAGATGATTAGTGAGGTTTTTTAATTTTGTAACTGCGAATTGGGTTTATGTCAATTGTTATTCTCGTTTTTAGTGATGCACTTTTTGTTTTTTAGCATCATCATATGACAGTGTTGTAGTTAATTGATGGCATTTATGTTGTGCAAATGCAAAAAAAA